ATCATGAGAAGATCCCCTAATTCCCATTTTGATCACAGTGCATTTCTAAGGAGACTTCTCTTGCAGAATGCATTCTGCCTGCCCACATCTGTAGGACCTACAGAAGTTGCACAGAAGCTAACAATTTTCTCCACAAGACTAGGGATGCCAAACAGAAATATTGCTAGGTTACAATGAAGTTACCTTTGTAACTTTTGCCTTTGCTATAGACTGATGCTGTTTTAAACGCTCAGCAGCGATCACGCATCACTGAAGAAAACGAAGAACACTGGTGCTTACTGGCAAGAAACTGTTATTCTATGGCTCATGGCACATTACCAAAACTCAGTGATAGCTAAAAAGGATTATACTGGTTCAAACAAAAGACAGTCACGTACTCAAGCTAAATTTGGTAAGTAGCAGGTGTTTTCGCTTTCCCTACAATTCTGAAGTCTTAGGCTTACATCACATTGGGAAAAAATATATATATACACATAACATGTAGTATACATATAAAATACATATAAATTGTATACATATACAATACATATAAAATATATGTCACGATATAATAATCCTGCCCTTCTGCAACAACTCAGCCTAGAGCTCAATTCCTGTCTCCATATTCTGCCCATTTTTATTGTCAATTCACTTCCCAATCTAACCAACAAAGAAGTTGAAGGGTTTTTCTTGTTTACTCATACACGGAGTCGATTCTTTTTGAGAAAGAAGGGTTTTCTATGTGCCTCATATTATGTTAGGTGCTTTACATAGACACTCTTATTTATGGCTAAAAGATGAGATCATTCCCCTGTCTTACAAGTAAGGTACATCATCAGTGAGAGTCAAAATCTAAACCTAGCTTCACTTGACTACTCTGACTGTGTTAAAACTGTCACTATCACTGTCCTCCCATTGTTCATCGATTTGCTCAAGTGGGCCTAGTAACGTCTCCATTGTGACAATTGTTACTGTGTTTGGCATGTCGAATACATCACGGAGAGCTTGCCAAGCTTTGCCGTGTGGGCAAGATATTTTCAGTAGCTTGCCGGGCTCTCCGAGAGGGATGGAGGGAGGCAGGTGCCCTACCCACTGTGCTATTGCTCCACAGTAACTAAAAATCCATCTGTATAGGGAATTGTAGGGGCTAGTACCAGGGAAACGTAGGGCTCTGTGTTTATAAAGTATGAACTGGAGGGGCTGAGACACTGAATAGTGGGTAGGGCACTTGCCTTGCATACTGCTGACCCAGTTTCAACCCGGGGCACCCCATGTTGTCCTTCAAGTACCTCAGGGAGAGATCCCTGAGTGCAGAGCCAGGAAAAAGCCCTAAACCCAGTCCAGTGTGGCCCCAAAACAAAGACAAAGAGAAGTGCAACTCTGTTACAAAGTAAAGGTCTGGCCATGAAACAATGAAGAAAAACCATGAGATATGACCAAGGAAGTCAGAGAGAAGCTATTTTTAACAGTCCAAAATACAGAATCTGTGCCTTGTGAGAATACTTACAACTGCACAAATAGCATAGTAACTACACGCAGCAATTAAAGATTAGAAGATAATCCCAAGAAATGACAATCTGTAATGAAACAGACAATCACAGATGATTTTTTTTTTAAATATTCCTTTTAAAAGTGCAACCCTAGGGGCTGGAGCGATAGCACAACGGGCAGGGCATTTGTCTTACGCTACCAACCTGGGTCTGATTCCCAGCATCCCATATGGCCCCAAAAGCCTCCACAGGAGTAATTCCTGAGTGCAGAGCCAGGAGTAACCCCTGAGCATTGCCGGGTATCTCCCTGAGGGAGATACAAAGGCAACTACAAAGGGTAGAACTGAAAACTAAAGAAGCCATCATTAGCAGCAGGCAGGGAAGCTGCGGGAATCCTATTTTTTTTTTTTTAATTTTTATTAAGTGAAACACCATGAGGTACAGTTGTAGACTTACAAATTTTTGTGCTTGGGTTTCAGTTATACAATGATTGAGTACCCATCCCTCCACCAGTGCCCATTCTCCACCACCACTGATCCCAGTATCCCTCCTACCCCCCACCCTCCCCATTCCACCCTGCCTCTGTGACAGGGCAAGGAGTCCTATTTTAAATCATTTCTGCTACTTGCTCCTTTTGGTTGGGTTCTCCCCCCGCCCCCTGTATTAGGGTCATGCCCAGAGGTGCTCAGGGGTCACTTCTGGTACAACTCAGGGGACCATATGCTGCTGCTGATCATACTGGAGTCTGTCTCATGCAAGGCAAGTGCCTTCATGCCTTCACTCCAGCTCGCTCACTCGCTTGCTCTCTCTCTCCCCCTCTCTCTCTGGCTTTTTATGCCTTTTTTTTTTTTTTTTTTTTTGCTTTTCGGGCCACACCTAGTAAGGGGTTACTTACTCCTGGCTCTGCACTCAGGAACCACTCCTGGCAGTGTTTGGGGATTATATGGGATGCGGGGATTGAACCTAGGTCATCGCGTGCAAGGCAAACACCCTACCCACTGTACTATTGCTCTGGCCCCCTTTTTCTTAAAAAGGTTCATAAGAAACACAAACAAGATTGATGGAAATTGGCTGCCAACTGGAAAAATGACTGTTTTTAACACTAACTGGGGTTTCAGAGAAAGGCTCAATAGTGTTCCCCCACTAAATCATGAACCGGGAATCTTAGGGTCCCAGGAGTAAAAAGCTGGGAACAGCAAGCACTACAGGTTCATGGGAGTTAGCCAACTTGGGAACAATCTGAAAATGGCAAATTTATGAGGACTTTAAAGTGACATAGTAGAAGAATGACCATTGTACAAGAGCACAGGGGGAAATTCTGCTTTGATAATTTGACAGTAGAAAATGAACATCACATTTCCTCTAATTTAATCTTGATTTCCTTTGGCTAAATGTTTCCTTTCTTTACCACTCCCTTTACAAATCAGATGGAAGGTCTCTTTAGAGTTAATTCACTGGTCCTAAAAATAACTGGAGCTAAGCAAAAAGATCACTCTCACAGGCACAAAAAATTCTTCAAGGTAGCTGTGACATGCTTCCAGCAGGGAGCTGGGCATCAGTGCTGTATTTTATGAGAAAGGAGCCTGACAATGGCGACAGAGCAGTGCCAAGTTTATACCCCTTGATGTTGGCCTTTCTGAGACTCGCATCAAAGGGTTATAAACTTAGAACCACGGGGGATTCGTGACTATTTCTACATCCAAACCACTAGAGAATGAAGTGGGTCCTAGGAAACACTGATTTAAACCTTAAAAACCATAAAAAATCAGAAAAGAAGAATTCCAGAAAAGAGATGATTCTTTCAGAAAGAGATTTTATACTTCAACTGTGCTAAGAGAAAGCTGATTTGTCATCTCAACTGCCCGACCCAGTAAGCTTCTCAGCTGTTCAGCAGTCTGAAGGGTTAGCGCCTATTCAGAGCAGGCAATGGCATCTCAGCTCTAAAATGTGTGCTCAGATATAGCACTGTAGCACTGTCCTCTCATTATTCATCGATTTGCTCGAGCGGACCCAGTAACGTCTCCATTGTGAGACTTGTCGTTACTGTGTTTGTCATATCAAATACATCACAGGTAGCTTGTCAGGCTTTGCTATGCGGGCGAGATACTCTCGGTAGCTTGCCGGGCTCTCCCAGAGGGGCAGAGGAATCGAACCTGGGCCAACCGGGTCAGCCGCGTGCAAGGCAAACACCCTACAGGCTGTGCTATCGCTCCAGCCCGTGCTCAGATATGTACCTGGGAAATGGCTCTCACTTGCCTTCCATTGACTTTTTACACATTAACTCAATTCACGGTACAGAAGAGAAGGGGCATTATAAATTAAAACATGTAGGAGACTGGCACAATAGTACAGCGGAGTAGGACGTTTGCCTTGTACGCTGCTGACCTGGGCATCCCATACGGTCAATCCCGGCATCCCATCACGGTCACGGTCCTCCCGCTGTTCATCGATTTGGTCCAGCAGACCCAGTAACATTGTGAGACTTGTTACTGTGTTTGGCATATAGAATACATCATGGGGAGCTTGCCAGGCTCTGCCGTGCAGGCGAGATGTTCTCGGTAGCTTGCCGGGCTCTCCGAGAAGGGCGGAAGAATTGAACTCGGGTCAGCCATGTTGGCTGCGTGTAAGGCAAACGACCTATCCGCTGTGCTATCACTACAGCCCGGCATCCCATATGGTCCCCAAACACTGCCAGGAGTAATTCTGAGCGCAGAGCCAGAAGTAACCCCTGAGCATCACTGGGTGTGACCGAAAAAGCAAATAAATAAATAAAATATGTAAAGAGAACTCAAAGAAATCAGTAAAATGACCAGCCTCTCCTATAAATAACTTGATTCTTATTCCAAGACTTTTTAAATTGGTTTTGGGGCCACACTCAGTAGCACACAGGGCTTACTCCTGGCCCTGCACTTAGGGATCATTTCTGGCAGGGCTTGGGGGCCATAGGGGGTATCGGGGATGAAAGCCATGTTAAACACATGCAAGACAAGCGACCCACCCGCTGTACTAAGTGGCCCCCAAGACTGGTGTTTTTAGTGTTTTAGTTTTTTTTTGGGGGGGAGGGGGGTACTTGAGGCCACACCTAGCAGTCCTCTCAGGGATTATTCCTGACTCTGTGCTCAGGGGAACATTCCTAGGCCTCTAGCACGCAAAGCCCAGCCCACTGATCTATCTCCATGGCCCCATTATAGGCCCTTTCAGAAAGGGATGGCGAGATCTCTAATTTTCACCATTACTGCTCTGCAAAAGCATATTAAGATGCAAGTACAAGCTATTTTTAAAAGATAAGAGGGCAAGGAGACAAACTGCTTAGGACCTCATAAGCTGGGCGGGAAGATGGGCACTGTTAACCGTCTTGCGTGTTTTCAACTTCCTGTTTCTTCAAGTCAATCAACTGAAGCTCAAGATCCAGAATATATAGAGCTAAGATACTTTCTGACAAAGTTCAAACACAAGAGAAGGGTGTGTGTGTGTGTGTTTGTGTGTGTGTGTGTGTGTGTGCGTACACATGTATAAACACGAGATCGGTACCTGTAAGAGAGCATGGTGCATCATCACCTCCAGTTCAGCTAGAACATGGGCAGCATCCTCACTGTCCTCTTGGACTTCCAGGTCCTCCTCGGGGATGGTCTCCCACTTTCCCTCATGAGCAACCAACGTGTGCACTAGTTCATACTGGCCGGGGAGGGCCAGGCTGACCCGAGTCTGAGTCCCGTAGGTGAAGCGGAGGCGCCGAAGCTTGCAGCTCTCCTCACTGGCCGTCCTGGAGGTGGGAAGCACCTGCAGCCCCAATAGCAGGTTCAGCAGCTGACACTTGACATTACAGTCCTGGCCGAGGATCACGATGCAGGGGAGGCAGTCCACGATCTGCTGAAGGTACTTCTCTTCCTTAGGCGGGAAGGAAATGCAGCTCAGCTGGCCTAGTTGGGGAAGGGGAGGGTGGAGGAGGAGAAAGAAGTCAGAGAGAACAGTGAGGAGGGAGATCTACAGAGATCGCATTAGCATGTCAGGTTCTTCAGAGGAGAAATTTCTAGGAAGTTCTTGGTTGATGGAGAAAACCAGTTCAATCGGGGGGTGGGGGGGGAAGCTCCTGAAAGATCAACAGAACTCCCCTTCCGGGTTCATCCCCAAAGCTGTTTCTACCCAGAGAGTTGGGGGTAACCTCATTATCCTCTCTGCTTCCTTTGCACCCAGCAATCATTCAGCCTAAGGAGCCCGAAAGGCTCAGTCACAAATAAAAGCACAAGATCGTGAATCTGACTAAGCCAAAGAAAGATTACACTAACCAGGATCTGAGTCCAAAGAGAAACTATATTTGAGGTTGCCATCATAAAACCTTCTTGGGACCAGAGTGACGGTGCAGTGTGTAGGGCACTTGCCCTGCATACAGAGGACCCAGGTTTGATCCCCAGCATCATTTATGATCCCTTGTGCCCCGCCAGGAGTGGTCCCTGAGTACAGAGCCAGGAGGAAGCCCTGAGTACTTCTGGGTTTGACCCCAAAACATGAAACCTTCTTTGTGAAGGAAAATCTAATACTGAACATATAAGGTCCTTTTAAAAAAAAAAAAGGTTTTTTTCAATTGAGTCACCATGAGATACACAGTTACAAAGCTGTTCATGATTCAACACCCATGCATTTCCCACCATCAATGACCCCAGTTTCAGTGGGTGACCTCCCCCACCCACCCACCCCCAGCCTGCCTCTGTGGCAGGCACTTTTAAATGTCTCCACCATATGCAGCTTTAGCTTGTTATTTTCCTCATTCATGACATGTTTTGTAACTAAATGTATGAGAGTATCTTTAAACAAGGGTAAAAATAAAATGTTACTCAAGTCTGCTCTAGGGTATATTTCGATTTCTGTCAGCTGGTGACAGCATTCCAGCTGTCATTTTTTTTAACAACTGGAAACTCAATTATGATCAACATTTCCTAATCAAATCTTATTCCTTCAATTTTTAGATAAGACCTCACTGAGTACAGCAAAGGGAGAGAACAGTCTATTAGCAAGTCTGGAGCAATTGTACAGCAGGTAGGGCATTTGACTTGCAGTGTGTGTGTGTGTGTGTGTGTGTGACTTGCAGTGTGTGTATGTGTGCGTGCGCGTGCATACGCACATACAAACAGTTCAATTCCTGGGTTTGATCCCTGAGCAAATGATTCCCTGAGCACCACCAGGAATGATCCCTGAGCACAGAGACACCTAAGCCCTGAGCACAGCCCGTGTATACCGCCTCCTCACCCCCCTTCCACCAAAAAAAGAATAGTCTAATAATTTTATTCTAATAAAACCCAGGCAAATATGGGAAAGGCATGTGATCGACCTCAAAAAAAAAAAAGTTTTCTGTTTCTGCTTGGGGTCACACCCTGCTGTACTCACGGCTTACTCTTGGCTCTGTGCTCAGGGATCACTCCTGGAAGGCTCAGGGAATCATATGGAGTGCTGGGGATTGAACCCAGGTCAGCCAAGTACAAGGCAAGCGACCTATCTGCGATACTATCTCTCTGACCCTAAAAGATTTTAAATAGAAAAAAATAATTCCACTGACTAGAACGCTCAGATTCTGTCTGTTTGGGGCTACATGTGGCAGTGCTTTGGGGCTAACCCTAAGAGGGACCATGGCAGTGCCTGGGGGACCAGGGATTCAAAACAAGGTCAGCAGGGTGCAAGTCAAGCACCTAACTTCTATTTCCCCAAATCAGGACTCTCATATTTTGACCTGATCACTGTCCCACTTGTTCAGGGCTAGCACCATACCCATGTCTATAATACCGGCAACCTGGAAGTGCTCAGAGAGGAGCAGAGACGGTCCTTAGGTTGCAAGTAGGCCAATCTCTGTACCAAATACATAACTGAAATTTGGAGTGGAACCAACTGAAATAAGGATCACTTTAGTCAATAACCATGAACAGCTGTTTCCTTTGTTAAAGTATCAGAAATAAGAGAGGCCTAATTCGTTGAAGAGGTTTTTCTCCCTTAAGTAGAAAAAACCTATCTCCAATCTTCAAGCCTCCTCCTCCACAAACGGCACCATCAGAAAGTTTAAAGACACCTGCTCTTGGGGCCAAAGAGTAGAGTGAGCAGGGCACATGCCTTGCGCACAGCCAATACAGGATCAATCCCTGACACCCTATGTGGTCCCCTATGCACTACCAGGAGTAATCCCTGAGCACGGACACAGGACTAACCCCTGAGAATACCCAGGTGTGGCCTCCCCCAAACCCCCAAAAGGATAATAAGCCTATTTTCACACAGTTCCCCTCTGGGCAACTCATTAAGACCCCTCCTTTCCTCCCTGTCCATAAGACTGGCTTATACATACATAACAACACCAAACACTGAAACAAGGAAATCAACCCTCCTAAGCAAGAGAGATTCCTCTGAAAAATCTTGAGTGTTTCATTCTGTGCATCATCTAGTAAGCATGAAACCATAGGATTGGACTACTCTCTGACCTACAATCCAAAAGCAAGTGCTTATGTGGCAACACAGCAAGTAATAACTACAGGCTAGTCCAGAGACATTTCGGAGAACTTGTCTGCAGCTAAATACTTATTACAGTCCTCCTAGCTATCTGTTTACAATTATAAAGACCAGAACAATCATCAGATTTCTCGCTGTATCCTCTACATGACCAACACAGTTATATACCTGTTTGAGTTTTACAGCTGTAGCAGTGCTCAGGGCTGACTCCTAGCTCTGCACAAGGGATCGGTCCTGGTGCTCAAGGAACACATGTGCTTTGAGGGACTGAACCAGAGTTAGCCTTGAACGAGGCAGGACCTTAACTCCTGTCCTTTCTCTCTGGCCCCAACAGCTCTGAAGGCTTTTTAGGCAAGTGCAGTCAAATTGGAGAACTCTGGTCAACAGCTGTGGTTATCAAGCCAGCCCGGATGCCTTGATTGGTACAGAGCCAGCAGTAAGCCCTGAGCATCACCGGGTGTGGTCCAAAAACAAAACAAAAAATATTTTCAAAATATTTCCAGATAACTAAAGAAGGAACGACTGAGAAACTGGTCTACAAAACTGCTGTGAGTGGTTCCACCAGCTCCTTATAAAAGTCCGATGTATGATGAACAGTTTAGAAGCAACAGTCATTCCTAAAAGCCTGTCTGCCCCTCAGTTTCAGAGTGCAGAGTCAACAAAGAACAGCACCTCCTCACTGACCGTGCGGAATATAAGGACCACAGCCCCGGTACAAATAGTGAGAAGTCCAGCTGGGCCATCTTTACTTTCATTACACTTCCTACCCCCAGTATACTCTCAAATAAATGTTTAAGTGTAATTCACAGACAACCTTCATAACTCACGTAACAGAAGTTATGTAATTTAAAAAAAAAAACCCTAAAGGAGTTTTGCTACAGATACTGCTAGAAAACTTTGTAACAGAGAAGAACCAAGACCAACTGAACCATTTTTCAAGTCTGGCAGCACCCCGGGACAGACCTCACCATCACTTTTTCAGGATGTCATTACCAAAGCATTTATCTCACTCACGATTAGCTTATTCTGCAGGGCAGGGGAGAGAACCCTCCCGGGGTACTCAGGAGACAGTGCAGTGCTGGAGAGGGAACCTGGGGTATGCAAAGCATGCGCTCCAGGCCTCTGAGCCCTCTTGAGCTTTTTCATCAATCGTGTCCAAAAGATTCGTACAAATGCTGGAAAAAATGAGTTTGGAACTAGCCAGCTTCACTGCCTACAGCTGAATGGGAAGGCTACTTGGGCCAGGGGCAGGCACTTGGGCCAGGCCCAACCACTGGCCAGCTCTGACTCTGACGATTCATTTTTCTCAGTCTTGGATTTCTCATCTATGAACTGACGAAAACAGATCCAGTGTCTTCTATGAGCCACACCTGGCTGGCCTCAGGGACCAGAGGTGCCGCCAAGGCAGGACTGTTGGGACATGTTACCTGCTGTACTATTTCTCCATCCAGATTAAACCATTTTTAACCTTCCCAGTTCTAAATTCCAGGACACAAAAATTTCTAACTATTGAAAGAGAAATAAATGAGAGGCTGGGAGGTTCATCTGGTTATTTTTATTCTGAAGTGTATGTAACTTTTAATGTTGCACTCCTGAGCAGCTTTAAGAGAAGATCACAACGCTAAATCAACTTGCCAGGGGCTCTGAAGATCAAAGGCAGTTTTAGCTCTCTAGAGGTGAAGAATTGTGAACAGACAGTGGGAGGGAAGCAGAAAACCTGCTCCGAGCTGGAGCAGCTGCCACACTGACAGTTAAAGGCCCTTGGAGTTAATCGCGTTTCCTCTGTGATTAATGTAACATCATCTGCATTCGAGGCTGCCAGAAGGTAACAGCACGGCTCTCAGCGGGCAGGAGTGAGCCCTGCCAAACCCGGCTGCAGGAAATTCAAATTAAACCCTCCTAAGGATAAACCAAGACTTGTTCTTCCTTGATGGTTGCTCTTAAAAACATCATCTTAATCGAAAACAAAGGTTTCGATCTCAGAAAATAATTAAAGTACCAATTTTGGTACATTTGTTTTAGTTAACATTTACGGATTCATATCCATATAGATCATTTTAATGGCCTCATCTTTTTTAATCTGCACAATCCTACCACATAAAGACAATTAGCACCACCAAGAGTGACCCAGAGCACAGAGCCAGGAGTAGCCCCATGTCAAGTCTGGGTGTAGCAAAACTAAGCAGCAAAAAAACGGGGAAAGGGGAGTTCGGGGCAGCAGGAAGAAGCACGCTGTAAATGTAGGGTGTGGTGCCAAAAGAGAAGCAAAAATGGACATAAGTTTCTCCATTTATCGAGACCTCAGCACCATGTTAATACTTTGGTGGCACACAATGTCCCTAAGGGGTGACAAAATATGCCATCCAAAATATGACACTTTGACATAAGGACTACTTAGAGCTAAAAAATGCCTGGAAAGCAGCAGACAGAACTT